AAGATAATGTAACTGATGGTTAGAAAGTCGAGATAAAATAAAAATACTGTAAATAATATCCTGGGATTTTACATCCTGAGACTGCCAGAAAATCTCCTGGCAGTGTTGCTAGATGGAGTCTTCCTGGGATCCCAGCCAAGGATTTACTTTAATCCTTAGGAATTGTGCAATTTGAAAATTGAAGTTTCAATTTCACTTGCACTTAAATAGCTAGTCCTTCAGCCATGTCTATTCCCCTTTGTCGATGCTATTGATCAAAGGGCATGTTGTGCTCTTACTGGGCAGGAATGATATTCTTCCTTTTCAGAGCAGTGTCCAGCTCAGCTATGGTGTGCTATCCTCTGTGGCGTCAGGCAGATTACAGTGCTTACTACAAAACAACAGCAACAACAAAACAAAACCAAGCCCAGTGTTGAATAACATAAACCATCTTAAATATCTTTGGTTTGCTTAAAAACGTGAAAGCTGGGCTCTTGCAAAGTAACTGCACCCCCAGGATTTTGCCTTTTACCACCATGGAGTGAGCTCTCTGCAGCAGACAGGATGGAGAAAGGGATGTCAGTGTAGACCAGGAAGGTGGAAGGACACAGGACTAGTTCCTTCCTCTTGAAGCGGACAGAGCACAGTCCCGAGGTAGGCCCGTTTTCTATTCTCATCTCTCCCATCAATCTATGACAGACCTGAGAAAAGGAGGGTGGAAGAGGACACAGGAACAAGAAAAGGTAGATGACAGTTTGTCATTTCACAAAATATCATAGCTGGAAGGAAGGATCTTTAAAACCACTGAGCTTGACTACTCCTTATTAAAGACTGAGGGGCCGGAGAGAGAAGGGGGACATGCTCGACAGTGCAGTTAGTAGCAGAATTGGCTCTAAAATCCAGCCAAGGTATTTCTACTTCCCCACACTGCTTTGATGCCTGTTCTTTGTAAGAAACAATGGACAGGGCCGAAGGTACATTTCTACCTCCATTCCTCACCCCTTGTGGTACTTTTCATTCCCAATCCCGAGAGAAAGGCCCAGTGTCGTCAGGTTGCCCTTCAGCCATCCAACAGCCCACCGACCCCAGACCAAGGCTCCATTTTCTCAGCACACTGATGACGAACAGCTCTTGGGAAAGAGATTCCTGTAAACGAGTTCACATAAAAATTCTAACTGGTACTTTATCTTCCTAATCTTCTCAGTAGGGTTACTTTGGAACCCAGATGAATTTCTAAATGTTAAATATTTAAGGCAGAATGAGGAAGGGATTTTTATCTCTTCTAGACCGGTCTGCCTGTCGGGCAGAATTAGTCATGGTCTTGCTCTATTTCAAGTCATAAAGGGTTCAGGTCACAGGGAAAGGCAAACTGGTGAGTATGAGGGCAAGGGGGATGAGGTCCTCTGTCCCAGGCTCAAAGTATCACGAGCGGTCCCGCCATTAACGCGGCGAGCTCCCTGGAGTCCAGGCACTAGCAGCCCCGCGTTCCCTTTGGAATCTGGATGTGGAAATGGAAGAGGGGACTTCTGCTGGAGCCCTTGAAGCCAACTCGTGGCTAACACTCCATGATTTATAGGGAATGTTTGATAGAGTCCATTTTGGTGAGGGATTCTTTTTTATCTATATGGAATTACATTTAAGGAATAACAGAGTGTATGGGACTTAAAGAGATGTCAATCTCCAAAAAATATTTATTTTAGGGATTCATTTGAATTCCATCTAAGATTATTTTAAAATTTAGTTTATATAAGATAGTATTGGTATTTTACAAAGGGCTCTTATCTTAGACAAGATTAGATACAGTATGATCTTCTCTAAGCTGAAAACTGCAGGTAGTAGAAAGAGATTGGCAAATCCAGAAGGAAGGAAATTGAATAATGGAGCAGGTGTTTGTGAGAGCAGAGTGTGAAGTGATGGGTATTTGGTGAAAGAAGAAACTGATGAAAACAGGATAGGAATTCAAATCCAAGAAAAGTAGATATGCGGCTAGAAAAGAGAATTAGGAAAGTTGAAGGGAGGAACAGTGGAAAGATCTTGAGGTGGGGACTATTGCAGGGCTAGTGACAAATGCCATTCTTCCTCTAGCTGGCACTTCTAACAGTTCCTCTCCTTTCTTTCTTTTTTTTTTCTCTCTTACTGCAAATGTTTCTTAAAGATTAGGACTGACTTTTCTTCTCACCCAGCACTTCCTCACTGTCTCAGGAATATAAATTGTTCATATGATTTCAATTGCTGGAATATACAGATTAAATTAAGACTTGCATCTCTACCCTGGCTCTCTAGTTTTTTCTCTAGTTTAGTTTCCTACACCTAGTTACTCTGGACTGTTTAATGAACACAATATTAAATTTGTTTTGTGTAGTCCCAGACCTAAAATGCTTTTTCTTCAAAATTTAGTTTTATTTCCTCTTCTTTTTTTTAAGAGGTCAAAGGGAAAGTTTATTAGAAAAGGGGTAACACTCCGCAGACAGAGCGTGGTCTCCTCTAAGAGGCAGAGAATGAGGGACAGTGCAGGAGACAGTGAAAAACAGAGTAAAGGCACTGAGAAGGACCCAACAGTTCTATCTGTGATGACCCCAACCCCTCAGGAAATCTCTCGGAGTCATGGTCAGATTATTTCATGATGCTGGTATTAGTGTGTTATGTTTTCTGGTGAGGTCTTAATTGTGCCTCTCTGGTTAACTCCATTAGTCTGTTCTTTTTTGGTGGCTACTTATCCCACTAAAGACTTGTTTTCTTCTGTTTCTGCCTAGTACTTGGTAACTTGATAGTGTTTCCCAGACAAGAAGCTAATATTTAAAAAAGTATCAATAAACTAATTTGGTATAAAAAGAAAAACTTGACATTTTTGTTTGCTAGAAGATAGGAGCAAAAACCAGCAAACAGAAGATATGAAGTTGAGTAGGATGAAGTCTCGCGCTTCTTTGGGAGGAAACACTAACCACCGTATTAAAAAAAGTCTATGGCTTTCTTTCAAGGGACCACATATTAACTGTAGCTTTAATATATTCCAAAAGCTCTAGAGGGTAATAAAAGTAATAATATTTATATAGCTCTTATATTACAAAGCTTATTAATATAATTGTTTCATTTAATAGTACGCATAACCTCAGGTGTTAAAATTCTCATTTTAGGTGATATTCTCATTTTAGAGTTGAAGATGGTTATGAACTGTAAGTGGCAAAGTCAAAATCTAACCTCTGGTGGGACATCCTTCTAGTTGAGCAAGAAAGAGGGAAAGTGTGGAAAGGCAATGACATTAGTCATCCTGAATACTCAAAGGTGCTAGAGACTGTTTTTATGAGACACTCTTTTCATGCAATTAGATGAGCCTTTTCCCTAAAAGCACACAAGATGATCCCTAGCTGAAGTCTGCTGAATGGGTGGATGAGTGAGGAGCACTGATTAAAAACACCCATCAGCACCCCAATTGACTTTTTTTGTGGGCGGGGGGGGCGGCGGGGAGTAGTGGTGGTTAAAGATAGAAAACTAATAGACTGGCATTTACCCAGTTATCTAACACAGATGTCAATGTTTTTCTTGCAAAAGGAAGGAAGGTTCCTCTTAGGCCACTGCAAAGGAATCAAGTACAAGAATGTACTCATATCGTTGGTAAACTACAATGTCTGGATTATTTCTTCATTTTGGTGTTTCAGATTTCCTGCATGGGGTCATTAACATATATATGTTTTCTAAGAAGGTGATATTTTCCTAGGAAGTATAGCAGTCTTGACTAAAATAAATAAGATCCATATATAGAGGCCAGTGGGTAGCAGAGAAGAATGATTTTCAGATTCCCTAGAGTGTATAGTTCTAGGATAAATAACATCAGACCCTAAGCCTTACTTTTAAGTGTGCATATTATTTGAGAACTTGCCTCTCAACTGTAATACATGGTATACCATTTAAAAACATACTGTTTCAGTTTTCTATTGCTACATAACAAATCATGTCAAAATGTAGTGACTTCAAACAGTAATGATTTATTATTTCTCATTTTTGTGGGTTTACTGAGCTCAGATGGGCAGTTATCCTGTTCTACTTGATGCTGGCTGGGGACACTCATTTGGCTACATTCAGCTGGTGGCTGCACTGAGTGAGAAGGTTCGAGAAGGCTCTATTCTCATCACTGGTCCTTTGGTGGTCCTCCAGTGGCCTCTTTCTCTCCATGTGGTATCTTATCATCTGTAAGTTTAGCCCAAGCTTCTTTACAGCATGGTGTCTTGTTTCCCCAAAGAGAGAAAGCAGAAGTTGCCTGGGCTTTCAAGGCCTCAGCCCAGAAATAGCACAGTGGCACCTCTGATACATTCTATTTGTCTAAGGAAGTCACAGGTCACAAGGCGGGGAGAAGGGAGGGAGACTTCACCTTTTGACAAAAGGAGAGGCAAAGTATCATTGCAAAAGGCACACGGGATAGGAGAAATTGTTGCAGTCGTTGACAGAAATAATCTACTGTACTCTTTCAAACATAAGCACCACTAAAAATAATGAAAGCAGAAAGGTTAGTTCAAAATAAAATAAAATAATTGAAACATTTAAATAATGATCTTATTCATTATTTTAATAATTGTTTCTCTCTCTTTTGATCATTAGTTTAAGTTAGGTCTTGAGCATTTTCACCCTTTTAAACCTACAACGGAAACTACTGTGATAGCCTGGAATTAAAGTTGCAAGAAAATTTCATATCTTGTAGCTTAAGTACTGTCAAGGGTCAGAGAAATTTTTTGATGAATTGAAAGAAGAATCTTACAGCCTCAAAGTAAAGTTGTAAAGATGTTTTCAGGAATAAGCATTTAACTGGTCAGAGTGGAAAAGATTTTGTTAGGTTTTCCATTTGTAAAACTTCCCAACCCAAAGCACAAAAAAAGGAATCGTTGTCATGTCAGCTGTTCAGATATTTCAACCAATGGGAAATTAAATAACAAGTTCTGGAATTTATATGAAGATGACAGTTGTTCTTACCTAAATACAAAGTGTTAGACAATGGACTAATAAGTTAAACAGAAATAAAGAGACAGAACTACTTCTAACTTTTATTAAAATAAGCTAAAGAACATATTCAAGTTAAGTTATATATACAGATATAAAGTCACCAAAGTATTTAATCCCACACTAAGGTTTTCTAACCATCTTAAGCTAAATTTTAAAAATATTATGTATTTATATAGTTAATATAAAACAACTAAAAAGGCTTCGTAGTGAATTGTTTCTAGTAGCATCAATTGCCATTGTGCTAATTATCAAATGCTAATTAACAGAGAGCTATAATTTCATGTGATCTAAAATAGACCTGCTTCTATACTAATATGTTCTAAAATAATAAGTAGACACACAACATCTTCAATGTGACAATATTGAGAGATATGGTCAATGACTAGTGTTCACAACAGAAAACTTTTAACTTTATAAATACAAGTCATTTATATGCCTGTTAAGTAGGGTAACCAATTCTCAGCTTGAGTAAATTATAGGTTATATATAAAGTTGACTGTGTCCGAGTCCCTGCTGCTGAAACATAAAACAATATAATTCAGATATATTTGTAGAACTCCATTAAGTTATCATTTATGGAAACTACTAAAAGTTTTACTCAAGTTAGAAATGTACCAAATGTTCTTTGCCTTAATGGTTGTCTTAATTAATATTTCACAGTATATGTGTCATTTCCAAGCTAGAGTTAAACATCAAAGAATGATTACATATTTTTCTGCATTTTAAAAGTACACCCATTTTATTTACATTAAAATCTAGTAATAATTTGCTTTAAAATCCACTTTAATTTATATCTAACTTCCACTAGATGTTTCTTTGAAAAGTACTATTGACTTGATAGAACTAGCAGGGAGTAGTATTGTGTGTGTTTGTGTGTGTGTCAAAGAAATCAAGCAAGAAAGAGACGAGAGAGAGAAAAAAAGAGAGATCTCCTTGCTTCTGGCTAGATCATAAACATCAAAATTTATCTTGGTATTGTTAATGAAAAACAATCTCTAGAAAGCCTCTTCTAGTAGAAGATACATCATACCATGTGCTGCAGAGAATCACAGAACTTTAGAGCTGAAAGAGAGCCTTAGATCGTCTAGCTTCTCTGCTCTCTTACAAATGAGAAAATGAAGGCACAGAAAAGTTAAATGTCGTGACAAGGCCACACAGAGTTGCAAGCCAGGTCAGGAACCCGGTGTTCTAACTTCCAGACCATATAATATTTCTATTATTCTCTACACTACCACTCTTAAAGACTTTTAGTCATCTATTAAAACAAGAATGAAGTTGTTGAGTTAATGATTTTAATTAAAGACACACACACATATCCCGAGAATATTAACTTGTAAGTGACATTTTATCTTTATGTCTTAACTACATGCATTTAAAAATCTATTTGTGATTTAGCTTATATCTTACATTGACCCCTCAATTTTTTCAAGATTTTACTGTTTGTGGAATTCTAGGATCATTCCTCTTCCAGTAGTATGTTGTAATTTAAAAAATTTGGGGCGGGGGGGAGAATTCTGTGCCATTTGTTCTAAAACCATGATTTGAAATCATTGGTGGTAGCAAATGACTAAGAAAGTGCTGCCTTTTTGAAAAAACTGTAATTCCACGCAAGTAAGCTAAAAAACCATAAAACATTTTCGCAATTGAAGTTTTTTTCAAAATAACTTTCTTATGTCTTGTAGTTTGAGAAATCTGCACAAGCAATGATGAGCGGTGATACAGCTAACTTAGAACGAACACCTGCTTCCTGCTCACCTTTTCATTCCCTACCCCAGCGCTTTATTTTTACCCTAAATCAAAGCATTCGAAAGCCTTGAACACAACTTGTCAATGATTCAGTCTAGTTAAAATAATCTTCAAAAAGCGACCCCCTAACAGGGCTTTGTGGTTGGGCAATTTGGAACAATTACTACATTCATATAGCACCAAGGCTGAAATGGAGGCCAAAGACAGAGTCCAAGCAAATAGGCTTACAGGGCTGATACAGATCTAATTAAATGTCCTTTTCTATGGTGTATTTCCTTCTTCCCCAAGCAGCAGGAGTACTAAGAAGTTGTTGAGTCTGAATTTTTAATTCTGTGTTAAGTGCTCTGCAAAAAACAAACAAACAAACTAAACTAAACTGCTTGGAGATTCTCAAGCACGTATGTGGAAAGTTGGAGGAAACCAGGGTGCAAAGAGGTAAGGCCGAGGTAGAGAAAAGGGAGAATTCAGGTGGTGTCACTCACTATGGCAGTATGATACTTGGACAGCACCAAAAAGGAGCCATATAAATAAATTAAAAAGCTGGAAAGCTGACACGAGTGACACAAGTCCCAGGTAAACCTGAAACTATACAAGGCTGTGAAGGAAACGCATGGTCACAGAATGGTGTGGGCTTCTGCGAGGATCCTGGGGTAAGACTATTTGCTGAGGATAAGTTTTACAAGTCATTACTTAAATTGGGTACTAGACATTGAAGTGCAATTGTCTTCCATGTGGCTGAGAAATGCAAAAAAAAAAATCTGTGTAGTACAGACATGAGAAATATGTACTGAAAACAGGAGTTGCAGTTTGAGATCTGTGCACCTGTGTAATTCAGGCAGCAGCAGTGCTATGTGGCCTGGGTCACCCAGGGAAAGTCGGGTATGCAAATGCCATCAGAAGAGTATTTTTCTTCCTGGTACTATGCCTGCTCAGAACATTTTTCTAAGCACTAGACGCTTTCTCTTCTCCAGTGATACCTAAATGATAGATTTGTCTAAGGAAAAACAATCGTAAAATGCTAGTTTGAATTAATTCTTAAATGTGAGCAAAAGTAAGGAAAGACAGTCACCCTACCAACTCCTGCCAAAAACTCTATTATTGTTTGAGGCACAATTACAATTAAGAAAAATGGGTAATGGAGTCTTGCTGTCTTCTTAATTTCTGCATGTGTGTGTGTTATTAAATATATAAGATACACACTTAGGAGAACTGGAGCAGCATGAGTGGTTTGGCAATAAGAAGGTTTACATGATAAAAAAAAAAACATATGGAAGCTAAAAATAAATCTTTCAGCAATGTTCCCTTTGATCTTTCATTTCTCATTTTCCTGGTACCTGTATCACCTTATTAAAAATGCAAGGCACATATAAATCTGAAGAGGCACATTCTTGATAATAAGATGAAAATAAGTCCCTAGCAGCTTATATTCACACTCAGAATGTTAAATGGCCAAATAAGCCCACTTAGAGTATCCTTCCAGTAAGCAAGGAATTACTGCTCAGATGCCATAATTCCTCAGTAAAGAGAAGCTCTCTAATAACTGAATGAGAGTCTCTGGAAGTTTCCATAGCTAGGTTTATAAGTGCAATAAACTTTTAGAGATGAACATAAGGCATTACTGTGTTTTCTTAAAAACAATTTATGCTTGCTGTCTCGGTACCAGATACAAAAAGTTTTTGGAATTATGTGTATTTGGAGAAATTGACATTGTTCAGGTGAGCACACCAAGCCCAGGAGCAGAAAAGAGTTAACGAAATAATATTTATTGATAGAAACACGACTATTTTGTGTCTTTATGCTAGACAGTGATGGACAGCCCCATGCTATTATTTTACATGAATTCCTTGTTAGCAAAGTAAAAATACTTTAAATATTCTGTATCATTCTTAGATGTCCAGGATATAAGGCATCTATCATGGTGTTTCAGAATTTATAATAATAAATATATGTGTATATATGTACATATGTATGTATGTAGATAGGTTTGTCTGTCAAATTTACTTGGGAAAATATTCCAGTATAAGTTGGGCTCACCTATTGAGGTGTTTTGTTTGTTTGCTTCTTTTTTTTCGTAAGAGACACAAAATGAAGTTAAGTGAAAGATAATCTTCCTGTTCTCAGAAACGTTTACATACCTGACTTGATCACGAAGCACAGGTTTAGGGCTGCACAGATTCACAGAGGTGATGGATGCAAATGTTTGGAAGAGACTGCTGACAATAAACCATTTAGAAAATATACCCATGAAGATAGGTTTAGTACTGAGATGATTTTGTCATGAGGAGAAAAGGGTTAAGAGACTGTGATGTATCAAAGGACAGCAGTAGAGTCAGCAGTCAGTTATCCTCAGATCTTATGAGAATGGTATTCCTTGTGGTTCATCCACAATTTGCTATGTAAATGTATGGAATCTTCTCTAGCTAGCTTTAAAAATAGAATTGTCAATGTCTCATGATATAGAGAAAGTAGAGTCTGCCCCTGAATCAAGAAATAAGCCTAGATGACATTTCAAGGTTTCCTTTCTATACCAATATAAAAACGCAGAATACAATACCGGCATTATTCAACAGAATTACAATAAGAGTGAATTAAAATGCAGAAATATAATGTTATTCTTTACACAAACAACAAATCAAACAGGCAAGCTATCTGATTGCTCTAAGATATTATGTGATCAACTGAAGAAAGATGAAAAACATAAATCTTTTTCATAAATCAAAGTATAAGCCCACAAATTCTCAATATAAATTGCCTCAAGAAGGGCGGCTCTGATGAAATTGAAAACGTCTCCTCCATATGTGCAGTTTCAGACTTTATAACATTTAAAGAAAATGTTCTAAAAGATAAAGTTGGCATGTAAAAAGCATGGGCAGAGGAATCAGTAATGATCAGAGCAAAACAATTCTAGAAAGGCATCTTAATTTTCGTATGGCTCATTTGCATTTGAAATACTGAGAATTTCTATCTCTCTCGTACAAAAAATGTGTACATATTAAATTACTTTCCACTTGAAAGAACATTTTCCTAAATGTTTGGAAGATGATCAAATTTTAACTGGAGGACTTGTTTTCTTCCATCAGGTGTGGGGGAGATGTGGCTTCCTGGTATGAGAGGCAACAGTTGATTCTATTAGCAGAACAAGACAAAAATGAGAAAGTAAATCGGTACAGTTTGATTTAAGGGTGGTAAAAAAAAAAAAAGGACACATAAGGTACAAAGATGTCAAAAGACATCAATTTTAAAATTAAGTAGGGTTACCTTTCCAAAAATTGTGATATTCTGATACTTGAACATTAGGTCCTATTATTTATTCTAGGATACCCTTCGAGGCGAGAATGGGAGAACGTGAATCAGGGACCAAGAGGCCGGATGGAGCGGTGCCGCTGTCCACCCTCACACACCAAAGGTAAGGGGACAGTGTTTTTACACACAATTCACACTGTATTTCAGATTGCTGCTTCAGACTTAACCCTGATCTTTTGGTTATTTAAGTAAACTGTATTGGGCTTAATTAACAAACAAGTAATCAACAGTAAAAGGTAAAATGGTCTGTGTAATAAAAATTTGGGGACCCAGAGATTTTGGATACACAAAAATTATCTTAACATTTCTTCTTACTGATTAGTTTAATCTTTCTCTCCCAACAAACTTCTATTTTATCTATCAAACCTTTTTGGTGACAAGTTAATGAGAAGATAAATGACCAAAAAGTAGATTTTGGTCAAAAGAAGATAAATGACCAAAAAGGTGGAAGATCACACAAACGCAAATGGGACGATGATCTGTCTCTCATAAATTAAAAATTACCATCTTGGCTTACTAATAAGTAGTACTCATCTATTTATTTATTTGGATCATATTTACTAGTACTTTCTAAGTGACAGATGTTGTTTAAGCTGCTGAAGATATAAGATGAGGGGAAAAAAAAACCCCAGACAAACTTACTTCCATGGAGTTCTTTTTTTAACTTCAAAGTTTTCTGAAAGCAAGTAAAGAGTAATAGCCTAATAAACTGCAGAATCAATGTTTTTCATCATATTCACCATATTTTCCTGCAATACTGGCACATCTGAGGATAGACTTTGGTTCCCAGGTGTCTGAATTTTATCCTTCGTATCTGGCCAGAGTTGTCCTTGGCTTCGAGAAAAAATCTAAGAAAGGCAGACTTAGGTGCCTGCCCTAGGTGGAAAGATGTAAGAGTCAAGTTTCCTTTATTGAGCATCTGGAGGCTACAGAAAGGTACTGGGATTGCTCTGCAATGCAGGTTAAACTCAGTCCTGTTCCAATGAGAGTTTTATGAAGCTGTTGTGTTTTGGGTACATGATCTGGCGGGTGGGATATTCAATAGGCATAACAAAAGAGTTGTACAATAATTTGATTTAAATGTTTTTGGAATAAGATTTTGTAACAATCTGGATATTTTCATAGTTTTATGATTTTATTACATCAATCACCAGTATTAAGTAAACAAATGCAACCAAACCAGTGCAAAGATAAGGTCTCAGTGTCCACCCAGTCTCACTTCAAAAGGCAGAAAAAAGAAAAAAAAAATCATTTTATAGCACTTTTAACTTTTGAATGGAGGTACCTGCTGACGTCTTCTGTTTCTTCCTTCATTACGTGCTTTTCTTTTAATTTGGTCCTCTCGGAAAGAATCAAAGTAGGGGCTCTCTAAGAGTTGAGCACATGTTAATCTGTCATCTGGATTCATCTTCAGACACTCCTTTGGAAGAAAAGCAAAGATGTTAAAAGAGGGGACTATTTTGTTACTGTGCCCAAAACAGAATAACTTGAGTACAGAAATTCTTTAAATTTGTATATTATCCAGTACTTGTTCATAACTGTGGTAGTCTACCTCTTCATCACTTCATTCTGCTTCTGCCTCCATAATTCCACTTAAGTGGCTCTTGTTATTCATACCTACGATCTCTACTTCCACATCTTTAATGTTTTTGCTTCTTCATCTCAATCGTGTTAGATACTACTGACCACGTCTTTCTTGTAACTCTCCCTTTGGCTTCTCTGATGGCTTTCATCCTCCTATTTCCTGGCCACTCCTTGGCAAAGCAACCTTTCCTAGTTTACCTTCTTCTCCACAATGGTTGCAAGAAATTCCACAAGGCTCAATCCTAGGTTCCCCCTTCTTTTCATCTGTTCTAAATTTCTAGCTAATCTTACTAATGCTCAATGGCTTCAATGGTCAATGTTTATCAGAGACTTCCACATGTGTATTTCTGGTCCAGACCTCTCTTTTGAACTCTAGACCCACATTGCGGTAGCCTACTTAATATCCTGCTTTGTCTCCAGGGCACTGTTATGGGTTGAACAGTCCGCCCCTCCCCGCAATATTTGTTGAAGTCCTCATTCCCAAAATCTCCTAATGTGACCTTATTTGGAAATAGGGTCTTTGCAGATGTAATTAGTTCACTTGAGACCATACTGGAGTAGGGTGGGACCTATTCCAATATGATTGATGTCCTTATAAGAAGAAAGAAGACAATGCAAAGATAGACACGCAGAGCACACACCATGTGAAGACAGAGGCAGAGATTGGCATTCTGCTGCCACAAGCCCAGGGATGCCTGGGACTCTCAGAAGCTGGAAGAGGCCAGGAAGGAACCTTCCCTAGAAGCTTTAGAAAGAGCATGGCCCAGCCAACACCTCGATTTTAGATTGCTAGTCTCCACAACTGTGAGAATAAACTTCTGTTGTTTTCAGCCACCCTGTTTCTGGTACCTTGCTACAATAGCCCTAGAAAAATGATACAGGTACCTCTCCTCTTTGCTACCCTCCTCTACTTCACTCCCCAGAGCTGAATCATCATCAGTTTAATTTGCAATTATATCTTGAATTCATTCACTTCCTTGTATTCAATCACTTTCAGTCTATTGAAATCTAGTCAATCACTAAGTACCTATGGATTTTTTTTTTTAAGAGCATTTTTAGATTCTAAGAAGAGATTGCTAAGATGAGCTCCTCCATAAGGTCTGGGCTAGAACAACATCCTGCTTGATTAATTTTAGTTCAAATTTCACAGAAAGCTCTTTAACAAAATTTCCAATAGTCTACAGTCTTCTTGATGACCAGATAAAACTGCCATAGTGATAGGATACTTATGGCTATAAAAACTAATGAGCAATAAAAAGTATGTATATACTACACCCATTGTCTCATTTAAAACCTAATGAAGAGAACACAAAATATCTACCATATATTGGCCACTGCATGCCACCACTGTCCTTGGCACTGTCATTGGCTGGCTTCACCTACTTGAGCAATTCCCTGTATAGACCATGACCCAGTCTCATGGCATAACTACCTGTTAAGGTAGCTGGCAATTATTTGTTGTTAAATATGTCTGATTTGCTATTTGTGAAAGAAAGCTTGCCTTCATCTACCATGGGGCAGGGGTCTAGAACATAGGGTATGACCCAAGGAATAGCACAATCCTTGATGCACTTGGGTCTCAGGTCTAACATTGTGGGTCTAAATCAAATCGTTAAGTGACAAAACTAGCTTTACCTAGAATGTTGGGCAAGCCAGCAGGGTACTTCAGCTTTGGAGATGAGGACAGAGAGTCTGTTCTATACCTTGGGAGTTTTCATGCCCTGGAGGTGCCGTCTAGGAAGCTTTCTTTCTGGTTAGTTCAAGGAGAAACCAGAGAAAGGCTTGGCCTCCACCTGAGAATGGGTTGGGCTTGCAGGGCTTGACATCTTCCTCCATCTCCCTCTGCCTTGGGTTTTGTTAAGTTGTGGGTGGGTCAGAACCACCTGTCCAGAACAAGGTCAGAAAATTGGGCTTCCAGGAGAAGGCCTGTAGAGTGCTGGGTTAAGGCAGGTTGGAGTAGTGAGACAGGGAGAAGGCAGCTGAGGTCCAGTGGAGCAGTGGTAAGGGCAGTCTGGGAGTGCAGAGGTATCAGGCTCCAAATCTCAGGAGGGCTCAGACTGAAGGAATCCAGTACCCTGGATAGCGCCTTGGCATCAACTGGCCCTAACACAAAGGCTGGTCTACAAAGTTCACTCTAAATCATCCAGATGTCTATTCCTTCTAGATTAGAGGAGTTTCAAACTGAGCTGCTTATCATAATCACCTAGGGGAATGTTTAATGATACAAATTCCAAGGTCCTATACATAGATTTTCTGTTCCGTAATCTGAGGTTTGATATTGGAATGTGTGTTTTTAACAAGCTCCAAGATCATTCTGATGAACTGTATGGAAACCACAGCTATAAACAGAACTAGTTGATTGTTAAAGACACATACCCTTACTGCTGTCTCCAGTCTTATCCCCTTATGGGCTTTTAGTATTCGCTTTGGATGGAAGAATCACGTCGAGCATGGCCTCGGTTGGTCAAGCATGAATGGCAGACTGGTCATAGATGAGTTTCTTCTACCTTTTATTAGAATTTGTCCTTTGTTTGACTACTTCTTTTGGGACTGGAGCAGGGGCTATATATGGTGTCTATCTGGCTCTGATTTTGCCTGTTCTTCTACTAATTTTTTTAAAAGAATAATTAAAAATTTTATTTAGCACAATATATCTAAATGTTATCAGTTCAGTATGTAATTAATATTTTAAATTATTAATGGAATATTTTATATTGCTTTTTCTTCCCCCCCTTTTTAATTCTCTCCCCTCCCCCCCCCCCCCCAATCCACTTCCACCCCTGACCTATGGATGCTGCCGTTTTCCCCTTAACAACCGGATCTCTGAAGGCGAGGCGTCTCCTACCATACACTCGCGGAGTGCACCCAGGGCCTGGCGCACCTGGGTCCTGGCGTACCCGGGTCCTGGCGCACCAGGGGTATGGTCCGTGGCTCCACCCAGAACCTTCCACATGTAAAGCAGACATGCTAACCACTACACTATGGAGCCACCCACTTTATACTGTTTATATGATTTTCATAGAAATCTAGTACATCTGAATTCAAATTAGCCATATTTCAAGTGCTCAATAGTAACACATAGTGGCTATTATATTGGACAGTACAGTTCTAGACCTTCAAACTTAAGGAGTGTATTCATCCTCAAAATTTCCATAGTCTGAATATACTAACTTGTTTAAATTACCTAATGAATGCAAAAGAAGTAATGGTGTTCATCACAGCAAACTCTAATTATACTCTGTCATCCTCTACTAATTTTAGTAGGTATGTTAGAAAGATTACTGTTTCAGTGTCTACATCCTACTTTGGCATTATTTGCCCTCCTGTCCATCCCTCCCAGAGTTATCAGCTTCGGTCAGTACAATTTGCAGTCAGTAATGGTTATAACTGATTTTTGAGTACCTTCATGAAATTCAAAGCCACGGGATGAGCATCTGAGAACTTTTCTTCAAGAGTTTCCTAGAAAACAAAGTAAAGAATTTCAATGTTACAAAATAACAAAGTAATGTATATTAGTAATAAGAATACTTTGAAGAAAGACCCCTAGTAGGTTAATTTCTTTAAAAAATTTTTAAATCATATTTTTACATAATTTTACACCATGTAAAGATTTGAAAGACAGAAAATGGAGTTATTTTCTTAATTTCACAATGTCTTGCAATTGATGGTTGGTAAATGTGGGTTCTAAATGTCTCCTTCTGAAATCCTACAAGTACTATAATACCCGTGGCCTGATGTACTTTTATAGAGATGCTTTGCGCAATAATAAAAATACATTGAACTACATGAGTAAGACCCCTACAGAAAGCAGTAAAATGATAAAAACAAATTTCAGAATAATGAGGGAAGAGGATGGGATTGAGGAGGAGTATGTAGGGAGGGGGAGGCTTCAAGATAATGGTAATGTTCTCCTTTAGGCAGCAGGTACATGTGGACTTGCATTTTGTTCTTTAAATTATATATCTTTTTGTAATTCAACCTCTAGCCTTATAATTCGACTTTCAACCTTTTATTTGTTAAGAACTTTAACAAATCTAAGAAATCTAATATATAAACCAAAGCATTATATAACATAAATGTAAAATAAAGAGGTTGTCTAGACATAGCTAGGACCACTTGGACCTCAGATTGCTCACTGTGCCATAAATCATGATCTGGTTTTACACTTTCCTCATCCTTGCACCATTCTGGCTCTAACACATCTTGAGTGTGGACACATGCCTTTTCTGACAGTCCTTTCATTCTGTAGGCAGTATCTAGACCATGTGGAGTTTTATACATCATAGCCCAGAGTTAAGTAACACAGACAGGAAATCGATGTCTGCAGAGTCAGAGCATCAAGTAGTCATCGATGTAGTCCCAAAGAAAGGCAAAGCCCACAGCAAGAGTGCGGAGGTGGGCATCATGGTTTGAAGTTCTGATTTGGATACAATGAGGATCATTTTGTAGAAAGACCTTCCATGTGAAAATATATGTTGTGAAGAAATGGTTTTTATTGACTTAAGCTTTGTTTCACATGCTGAAAAACAGAGTGCATTTTTTTCAATACAGAGAAGACTACAGTAAGAACTGTTTTTGAATAAATAATTATTTCAGGAAAAGGTACTCTAGCGTTTTGACTAAAAAGATCAAGGTATTTATGTAAGGGACTAAACATACTCTCACTTCAAATTTAACATTAAATTAACCTTTGTGTAGGATAAGCAACCTTTATAAGCCTCCTAATTAAGTTTGTATAGTTTTTATATAGTTTTTCTTCATCTGTGTTAGTGTGTCATAAAGAAAACAGGAACCGAAAGCACAAATATTAAATGACTACCCCTTTAAAGAAAGTAGCAACGCAGATAATGAAACATCCAAAATCGAGCAGTTACCATGTCTTCTGGTTCAGGAATACTGATGCCACGGAAAAATTGGTTACTTTTAAAGATAGATTGATGTCTTGGGATTAGTTTTCCTGTAAAATACAAACCGCATAATTCCGAAGTTTAGTAAAAATAATGTAATATTTAACTGGTTAGCTTCTGAGGTCCAGATGTGAAAGAAATTCTGAGCCTAACTGCTACCTCCAGACTTGGGAGGTGAAGGTCACTGCAAAAACACGCCTTCACAGTAGGGTCAATTCTCCCACACGACTCTCTCTGCCACACATAGTTTGGTCTGCCATTCAGCCTCCATCAAAAAAAGAGGTAAGAAAACAGTGAGGAGGACTTTATACACATGATCTCACGTAATGTCATAATGATCTCACGATAGTTGCTATTTTTAATCTCCACTGTACCAAGGAAGAGAAGAGGCTCAGAGTTTTACTAACCTGTCTTAAGTCACACGGTCATTTAATGACAGACCTAGGATTCAAACTCAGGTTTGTTTAATACCTGTCTTATGTAAATTTCCACAGTCCCTTCAGGAAATCAAACGATATACACTTATGGTGTGGACTGTAGTGATACTCTACCCCACATTTTTCATGCTGCAGAACAGTCTAGAAGAGTGCATTGGAACCAAACAAGGAACTGCATCAGACCAGACAGCAGTAATTCCCTCACCCATCACCCATGCTGCCAAAAGAGTCTATAAAAGGAATTAATAAATACTCATGTTGTATGTAGGGGTATCATTTTCTTTGCATCCATGCTGTTGGAGTAAAGCTGCAGCTAACTTTTTGGGTTATACTGTCTTCTAACCAGGTGGAAGTAGACAACTGCTGAGAATGCTGACACATGAAAAAGAGATCCCTTGAGTCCCATTCCTATTCTGCACTTAATTGGTTGTATGACTTTAGGCCAATCATGGAAGCTACCTGAGTCTCAGTTTCTTGTTTCTAAAATAGGCACAATGAAAAGTGTCATAATGTCTTTGATGAGCTTTTCTTAAGACTGAAAGAGATAATGTGTGTGAAAGAATTTATAAATTCTTCAGTACTATACAAAGGAGCAGAGTTGAGGGGTTGTAACAGAGACTGTATAGTCTGCAAAACCTAAAATATTTACCATCTGGCCCTTTAAAGAAAGTTTGCTGATTTCTTCTCTAAAGAAGGAAAACCTTTTTTCGCAGTGGAAAGAAACTATATTTGATCAAGTATCACTTAAGAGCAAGCTCTATGCAGCTGACATATATCTTTAGCCCTATCTTAGCCCAATACGGAAAGTAAATGTATAGCTTACTCCATGGCTAAGTGGCTTACTTGGAAAGGCAGCTGAAAATTCCTTAGTGAGAGAGTAATGGCTATACATATTGAAGAAAGGGTTGGGCTTTGGCTACAACCCAGAACAACCATACTGAGTAGCACATTGGAGAGGCAAGAAAGCTCCTGTTATTCATTATAATGACATGCTATTACTATAACAATTTAGCAATTCTGAAAGTCATAAAATGCAACCCCTACCCAGTGTTCTGATTATCAGATAAAGTTGATCCACATCTGATTTTCCAGGCCAGAGTGGCTGGCCTGTCAGGAGCTCTGCAAAAACGCAACCAGTAGCCCATACGTCGACTGAAGAACCATACTGAGTATCTCCCACAAGAAGTTCAGGAGCTCGGTACCATCTTGTAGCAACATAATCAGTGTAGGCATCTCCTGGAACTGCAAATGCATCAAGCACATGAGGCAGGTCACATTCTCCGAACATGTTATCTAGTCCCAAGAGCAGGTCAGGAATTCAAGTAAGCTTCAAAAACTCTCAGAGGCCACACATTCCTAACAGTTAATGCAGTGAGGCACTAACTGCGTAAATAGTTACACTGTGCACTCAGACAGTAAATTCAGCTTCCAAAGCCACTGTAGCTAGTTAACATCTATAAAATCCCAGCAGAGGGCGTGGGGATCGAGAATTTCTGTCATATAACTTTAAGCCTAAGCCAACTTCTAAATGCACTGTTAAGTCACCTGTGTCTGAGTCCTATCAGTATACTGATTATGTACATAGCCACCTTGCAACGTGTATGTTGCTAAAACAATCTGCATGGTTCTAGATTCGGGAAGAAATACTGATTTGTCCCTCTTTTTTTTTTTCCCTTTGGTTCCTCCCTGTCTGGGATGATTTCTTTTTCTTGGCACGGTCTCTGAATCCTCTCTTCGTTCCTCTAGTCTCACCAGCTCTATGAAGATTTTTACACTACTCTAGCCCACATGAACACCCCTCTCCAGGGGACCATCTGCATCTTCATGTTTGTACTTTACTGCCAATCATCTTGTATTATTCTTTTGTCTCTTTTATTTAAGTTTATAAGTGTATAAAGAGCAGAAATACATCTTATAATTCTTTTCCTCTTCAATGTGGCAAAGCACATAAATGTGACATCCAATAAATTCTAGTTGAATGGAGTGGAGCTGAAGTGCAAACTAATGTAGTGACTAAAGGTTAAAGTGAGATTTTCCGTTTTAAATAACAACATAACACTTAGCATACATTCAATATTTAAAGTAAAAATTTAAACTCGATTATTTCCTAATCATCTGAATTGGATGTTAGTAAAAAGTTGCTACTTACTCAGAATTCGTGCAAACCCAAAGTCACAGATCTTGATTATTCCTTGCTTAGTTATTAAAATATTTTCAGGTTTTACATCTCTGTGAATACACTGTAAGATAATACTTGATTATTTCTCTGAGCCATAGAAATGACAAAGCATGACAAACATTAACTATTAGTTAACAGTTAATAGTCTGTGAGATAAAAACAAAATTTTTTTCTTCATTTTTCTAAAGAAACTTATATTGGCAATTTTTCATTTGTAAATCTTATCATGACAAAAGAAAAAAATCAAAATGTTGCCATATCAGTGAAATTATAATCACTGGATATGAAAACTAATTTTAGGGGCAAGGGAGAAGAGAGTATATATGAGCATTTCTCATACTTTTTACTGAGTCCTACTTAAACTGTAAGAGGTGAAACTCTGGATGAGCTTAGACTCAATGTACTTCTAAGAACTGCTGTCATTCAAGATCATAAGTCAAGTTGAATAAGTATTACAGATTTGTGAAATTGGAAAAAGACATGAATGATAACAAACAAAACTCACAATTAGAGTGATCATATTATCATTTAAATCATGAAGTGTGAAAAGGAGGAACTCTATTAATAATTATGCCAGGACAACAAGCACAAATCACAACTGTCACAAGTAAGGTGGGGTGTATGGTCCCCTCCTTACCAAGAGATACCAAAGCATTTGGCATCAGGGGATGAGAATCACTTCCATATCCTCAACAGTTAGCTGACCTGAACGGATTAGCAGCCTCCAGAGAGAAGACCACGTGATGCTGCTAGAGTCCCTCATTGGAGAGCAGGACACCACTGTGAGGCACTGTCACCTCGAAGAAGCTCCTGCTAGCCTCCTACATGTAGAGACCTTATAGTTTGTGGAATCCTCATAATGACCCTGAATGAAGCAGATGCTCCTTGCTGGACATGAGAAGGCTAAGCCAGGGGGCGTGGTGAAGGTGGGCCGAGTGAGCCTCACTCCTCATCACTTTTCTACAAGTGGCTATTCCATGTTGTGGAGGTCCTAGGAGAAAACAGCTTAAGCTCTATTCTTCAGAACTTTGGATTTCCAGTTTGTCCTCACTCCAAACAAGCAAAGTGATAAAAACGATGTTCTCTTCTTCTACAACTCAGCCCTCATATAGAGCTCTGTACTTCTCAATGTGCCATCCCGTGAATTAGCTCATCCTCAGAACAACACTGTGTTCGCAGGTGGCCACTGACAATGTCCAGATTAAGTGGTACAGTAATCAGTTCCTCGTTTGCTTCTCTGCTATGCTGTCAGTCCCTTTAAGTAATCCTGTCAAACTGACAATTCTGAAATAATTTATCTTTGCTTCTAAAATAGCTGTCTGGGAAGAGAAAATGTTGAGTCCTAAATCGTTTTCGGTCACAAAAATGGCACTGGTAATAGAAGCTTGTTTCAAGCTAGTCTCAATTTAGCCACTGTCAACTGTTTCATTATTCGTACAACCAGCAGTTACAAGAAACCTTTGCAAGCCTCTTAAAAGTCCTAAGGCCTTGGATATTAATTTTTAAAAATATAGTATAAACCAACTTAATTTTGATAGCTTCCTACCTTTGAGGTAACACATTTATGAAACTTGGATTAGCATTCTGAGTCATACTCACTCATAATAGTTGGCGATTTAATAAGAGCAGGTTATGTTCCTCAAATGAATCTGTATCGAATTCTAAAATTTCTGGACTACGTGTGATATTATTAAGTAAGTGGACTTATACTGATACCTGTTTACTGGCCTATTTAAATAGGTTTTTTGGATCTACTGCAAATCCATAGCAATTTATTTTCCAACCAAAAACTACAAAGGCAAATGAAGTATTGATATATCCCAAAGACACAGAAAAATTTATTGGTGTAGGTACAGGTAAGAGAAGCTACTAATAAAGAGGGATAGGATATAGAAGAAAAAGTAAAAAATCACCCGAACAGTAAGAAACAGAATGGAGGGCAGAAGACGCTTAGACATAAAGCATTAAGTCTCTCCACTGCAAAGCAACATTCAGTGCAAATTCTGCATTACCTCTTGCAATCAGTTTATTTTTCACCAAAGAACAAGAAACTTACAAATCAGTATTATAGAAGAATTTTAATAAACTTTGGTTTCATATACAGCTTTTAGCAAACATTGCTCAAATTGCGTTACTGTGGCTGTTGAACGATCTCATATCTACTGGCTCACAAGCAAGTAAGAAAAGATAGCCATGGTATTTTAAACCTGACCCTGAACAATCATCTCCAGAAACTTCCATACCAGAAATTACTTCTTTATAGCCTGACTGAACAATAGTTTTCTATTACCTGAAAAGGTTGTTCTCTTTGAGCTTTATTGATGGGTACTCAATCAGCAATAAGAGAGGAAAGAGACCTCCCTTCTTGACACAACCAGAACATGAATATCAACAAAATGATGATAGATTTGCAGCGTGATGCACTCATATCTTGGAAGTCAATGTGGTTTTGTCATTTTGAGATGAAGTTCTTTTTCTCTAATCAATACATCCAATACATAAAAATCCATGAGTTCATAATGATTCTAAATGGGCCACTGTTTACCTCACTTTAGCAATATAACAGGGTAAAAAAAGAACAAAATGAGTAGGTATTTTCTTAAGTTCAGTGCTTCTCAAAATTTGATGTGCACAATGTTAAAATACAGATTCTGATTCAGCAGATCTGGAATGGGCCTGAGATTCTGCATTTCTAATGAGCTTCCTGGTGATCTCTAGGAAGCACACTTTGAGTAGCAAGGCCTTAATCTCCCACTACTTAAACCTTCCTGGTCTTGGTTACGATCACTGCTCTGGAGATAATAAGGTAGGGTCAGGCTGCCTTTTCTAGTCTTTGAAGGTATCATGAGGGTTCCTCTAAAGAAAAGGAGAGTATAAAGGTTTTAGATGTAGTATTGTAACAGTTTATGTAAAACTTAGATTTTTTTCCTTTGCATGCATTTTATTTAATAGATAAAATAAAAAGATAGATACACAAAGGTTTACCATAGGAAAGAAAAATGAGATAACCCGAGTTCGGAAGTAATTTCCATGTTGGAGGAAATTACCCATTTTTAATAGAGATCATAAATGATCAATTGGAGGTTTCCAATATTTTAAAGCTTAAGGTACAGAATGTGTTTCAAGCAAGGAAATGATGGCCGTTGCATCGAGCTACAATAATGTTTGTGTCTGCTGGAAATACTAAATCAAAGTCAGGTAAAGTAGGTTGATTGAGTGACTGACTCATTTATTCATCCAGTTATTCAATAAATATTTATTGAACATCTTTTATATAAAAAGATCCATGCTAGGCACTGAAGAGATACAAAGATAAATCATCCACAGACATTGCATTCAAGCTTATAATACAGTACACAGTGAAGTGTCTGTTTATATAGGGATAAAGTACAAATGTTATGGTTAACAGAACTTAAAAAGAATCATCTTAACTACCATAACACTAGTTTAGTTACCTTAGGTGAACTTTAATACTTCCCCTATCATGGTGGAAAGCAACAGAGATGTGGATTCAATTCAGTGTTATCTTCAGTAAGTATTTGAAAGCACAGTTTGCATCATGAAAAACAGGTTTATGTATTCTGTGAACAATGTCTCTCTATACTTTATTATAGCAAATAAAAGCTTCTGATTTATCCTAACAAAATCTTCACTGACTGTCTTAAATCTTCACTAACTATCTTAAAACTTCTGATTTATCCTAACAAAATCTTCACTGATTATCTTCACTGTCTCAGTTCCTCCTAAGTACTGAAATTTAGTTCTGTGATCTTGTACTCTTTTTTTGGCAATCTTTACTACTATGATAGACATTCTGCTGGCATCAAAATGGACCATATGGTAGTCTGTATCTTGCCTCATCACTGCCTCTGTGTAGGTACCAACTCAAAAGGTCTAGGTTATTTTTTAAAACTATCATTATAGCAAAAGTACCCAGGAGCCAACTTAAAGAAGCTCTCACTGACCTAAGATAGGACAATTTGAACACCAAAAAGAGCAATGATAGCAAAGGATTGAAACACACCAAATATATAAAATCCTTCTATTTATAATGATGCCCTACACCCCATAAAATCCCTTCACTGTCACTCTTGGAGGTTGTTAAGATACCAATTCATCACCCTGAGTATTCACAAATAAAGGAAATAATCACATATTTATCCTATTGTATTTTACAGTAGCCAGAGTCCATGGGGGTAAGTTCTCCATAGAATTCCAATTAATAAATGCAGAAGGAATAACAGAATTAGAAAATCACCATCTTTTAACCCTAATGAAACACTGGATAATAGGCAACAATCATCAATGAATGCTAAAACCATCAAGTAAAATGTTGACAAGGAAAATTAATAAAGGAGGTGATCGATCATGTACCTCCTGAATCCACGAGTCTATTTTAAGATTATCGAACCAGACATTAGATGCCTCATGATACTGATGCAATAAGAGGTATATAGCACTATATATGAAGTATTTTTGCCTAGAAAACTGAACCTGAAAATGATCAAGCCTCTATATATAAATACAAATTTACAGGAAATACAGGTGAAAGAACAAGTTCAATTACACACAGGAAGCAATCAGCCAACATGATTTCTATAACACAGCGGTATTCAAAGTCTGGTTTTTGGACCAGCTCCTTCAGTATCAACCAGGAAAATGACAGAAATGCAAAGTCTCAGGAACCACCCGAAACCTATAGAATGAGCTTCTCCGGGCGTGGGCCCAGCAAACTGTCTTAACAAGACCTTCAGGGGATTTCCATGAATGCTCAAGTGTAAGAAGTATGGCTCTAAAAAATCAATGATGAAAATTTTTTTAAAAAAAGGTAGGAGTAGGGGGACTGTAATAGAATAAATGACTCGAGAGACATAAAAACTACGGTGGATTACACTAGTGGTATCCTGAAAACTTATTTTAACCCAATTTAAAAATAATCATAGGAACCATTAGTACTGAGGCAAAAGGAGACATTAAGACTTCTAATTCATAAGGAGTTAGTAATTTGATTCTTACAGAAATTAGAAAAGGGTCATGAGTAATGCATTGATTGCCTCATATTTTGTAACGTTGTTTTGCTCTTCTGGTTCTTACTTCCCCTCCATTTTTAGCTCTTCAAAGGCACCCCCGAGCTAGTTAGAAGAGTCATCATGAAGAATTAACAAACGTATTAGAAAATGTTACTTACGTTATGTTTATGACAGAAATTAAGAGCTTGAAGTGTTTGCCACAATACACTTTTGATCACTCCTTCTGCAACTCTGGGGAAAAAAAATAAAATAGGAACTGAAAACTCCTAGGATGGGGTTACAGGAGGAGAACCGCGAATAGAAACGAAATGAATGGAGCTTGTGATGGCCAATGAATACAGTGGAAAGGCTGTCTTGGAAATGTTTTTTTTTAATGTTTTAATAAAAACTGCTTTACTGTTTTTTTTTTTTATTGCAATTACATCATTTTCTTTTGAAATTTGAAATTCTTACATCTGTAAAAATGATAAATGCTTATGAAAACTCAAACAATATAGAAAAGCAAAGGAATTAAAAAGTGTTGACTCAAATCTTGCTAACTCAAAATAATTGCTGTGACCTAATGGCGGCTGCCCTTTCAGGCGTCTCTTCCTCTCCCCTCTCTGCATGTGTCTGCATTTACTTTTCAAGTTTAATTTTAAATAAGCACATTCATATGGTTCAAAATTTAAAAAGTATAAAAGTTTATCTATGGAGAGTTCTCTCATACCTGCCTAGTACTCGGTTCACCCTCTGCAGCTCCCCTGCCTCTTTCAGAAACACTGTAGGCCTGTTAGTAGATATGAATACTAACATGTATACAGATATATTAGTGGCTGTAAAGGACCTCATTATACGGTTCTATCATAATTTACTTATCCTCACGAATGAACAATTAGGTTGCCCCAATTTTTACCTCTAGAAATGACGTTTCAATGAATATATGCAATCATCCATCTTATTGCAGTTGTGCAATTATCCTCTTAAGGTAAGTTCTAGAAGTGGCATTTCCAGGACCAATAGTAGGCACATATTATATTTTGATCTTGCAGGGATGAACTTAAGATAGACCCAACACCTGCTTTGCAGGAAAAAAGTTATGCTTGAAGACTGACTTCAAGACAAATTCATCCAATTTGTGTTGGTGGTAAACACTGAAGCAAGTGTTGGAGTTGTTTTGTAACACCGACCAACACCTGGTAAGCAGGCAGGTCCACAGCCATGGGAGGCCAGGGAGAATAAAAGGCCCAGGAGAATGGGAAGCTGGGAGCTTTTGTCCCTGCAGAATTCTTACTCTGTGTGGAAAATATTGGAAAAGTACCATGGACAGGTGTATTTTCCATTGGAGAATCGAGGATCTGAGAAACTTGTATTTTGGCTGGGAGTAGTTACTTTGTGTAATCATCTCTATAAATTATAGCAACTACAGGCCCTTTAACTTTTCTGTTGATGTCTTTTCAATGCTCATATCACTGCCTCATGAATGATGCCGTCACAGTTACATACTGCCAAATTACCCTCTCTAAGGAAGGTTATACCCATTCACACCCCCACCAAATATCTAGGCATTAAAGTCCTTATCTCTTCCTTTGGTTTTGCCAAATCGTTTGCCTATCTGTGGTTAAAATATCTCAGTTTGGTTTTCATTTGCATTTCATTATTAGTGAATTTAATTTTCACATGATTATTGGTCATTACATTTCTTCTTTTGTGTATTTCCTGTTCATAGCCTTTATTGCTTTTTTTGATTGGTCTCTTTACATTTTTTAAAATTGATTTATGAAGACTCAGCGTATATTAAAGTCTGCAGATACGTAGTAAATATTTTTCTCGGTGTGTTGTTTTTCAATCCTATTCATGAGATGGGACTGTTGTTTGCAAATTTCAAAAAAAAAAAAAAAATCTAAAACGAGTTTTATTAAATGTCTATTACATTTTCAATTAAATTTTAAAATTATCTACTATTCCAAACACACCCATCACCCAGCTTTAATATTTTATCATATTTGGATGTTTAAATCTTGTGTTTAGATCACTTTTTAAAAACTGAATTCGTCACGCAGCTGGCCTTATGGAACAGCGGCATGGCCCACGGGTGACTCAGGTACGGTACTAGTTACAAGACATCACCATGTGAGGTTGGGGTATGTGCCGAGAAACAGCACCAAGTATACGGAGGTATTTTTCTCAGAGCCGTTTCCCGATCTCAGGTCATAATTATGGTAACGTGCCGTTGACATCAGTGGTCTGGTGGCAGCCCTCTGACTCCAGCTCTTCCTATTATTAATATTGTGAAAGCACCGAATTCTCGGCATTAAATTCCTTTCTACTTGAAATTTCTGGAGTGGTTTCTACTTCCTATACTGAATTCTAATATAACTTTATCCTCCTCTCTGCTTTGCTTAGAGCCAAACCTGAGACAATATTGTTTACGATTTTTAATAAGAGAAAGAATAGTATGGCCATTTTGAGCACTGCGAGACAGCTGAAATCCCAGTTGTGCTCCTACCTACTACTTTTACATCCTTGGTCAAGTTATACGTGCCTTCAGTTTTCTTCATGTGCAAGAATGGAATAATACCCCACAAGTTTATTGAGAAGTTATCCCCTAAGAGTCTGGATTTTTAATAACTACACAGGTTCAAGAAATGAGGGTCTGAGATCAGATGAGGCCAGCAGACTGAGGCTCTGACATGAAAGAATGGGAGTGTGGGAAGAATAAGAAGGCCAGCGTGGTGAAAGTATGAGGGAACTGGTGAGGCTGGCAGGAGCCAAACCGCAAGGGCTTTATAAATCTTGGTAAGGATTTGGATTTTATTCTAAGTTTAAAGGGAAGTCACTGAATACTCAAGAAGGCAAATGACATAATATAGAGAATAGGTTTCTGGGGGCAAAGTGGATACAGAGAGGTTTATGGGAAGGCTAATTTAATAATCCAGGTGAGATTTGGTGATTTAGAATAGAGTGGTAATGGCAGAGGGAAGGGAAATGGATTTCAATCCTTGGGAGGGACTGGCAAGAATAGCACTTGGCCCTCGTCACGTAGAAATGGCTTGGTGGGATCTGAGGACTACAGGAACAGAAAGAATAGCACTTGGCCCTCGTCACGTAGAAATGGAAGGCTTGGTGGGATCTGAGGACTACAGGAACAAAGGACCAAGAACTGGAATCCAGAAACAAGGCAAGGGCAAGGGTTCAGAAACTGGCGGAACCCTGGTTGCTAGTGTCGGTAACATGGAATTGGCACAGGGTGATGTCATAAGAAAGTCCCTAGCTGTTGTTGCGGAAGAGGGGTGTTTAACTGCATTTCATAGGAAGTGTCAAAACAGAATCCTTAGGCTCAGATTCCAAGAAGGCAGATTCTATCTTAGGCAAAACAACATACACACGAAGTAACAACTACAAACAAATACCACCAACCTTACAAACAGAAGATAGTTATCAAAGGGAATACAGATTCACACAGTGCTCATTCCAGAAAGATAGAGCACTGAAATAGTACTTAGCTACAAGCAACATTTTTTGAAGCATTTCGGAGTAAAATAAAACCTTCCTTAGAAATCAACTGATACTTATGTTTAAATATTACACTTCGGGTGAATGCAAAAACAAATACAGAAAGTAATAATGAAGGCCTGAGAACAAAAACTAGACGTCATAATTCAAGGCTGAATGGGTTAATAAGGGTAATGTGTCCAGGGAATTCAGACTGGATTGCTCCGAGACTGCTCTCCTAGCTACTCAGGGGATCCTGACGCTGACATCAGTGCTCATTATCCTTTAGGGTGTTATACAACTTAACATGAAAAACTTGATTTCTTTATCAGTACTCGAGATGAACTGAGTCCTTCTCAGTAAGCCTTTGCTTATCCTAGAATAAAATCCAACCGATCCTATGGCCTACCAGCCTAGTAATGACTTCATTTCTCTTTGCCTCCCCACCCTTCTCTTTCTACTTTCCCGCAGACACTCCACTCTAGCTCCAAAGCTTTCAGCTATTCCCTGATCATGCCATGCTGCTCACACCTCCAAATTGTTGTATTTATTGTTTCTCCTACTTCTCTCCTTGGGCAATCTCTAATTCCTCAGTGTGCTTGATTTTTCTTCAAAGACCTGTAACTCGGCAAGGACTTTATCTCATCCATCATTGCAGCTCTGAGGACAAGAACAGTACCTGGTACCTAATAGGTGCTCAATTAAGTTTGTTTCTCTGGCACTCTCAGAAATTTCATAAACTAATACCTTGTAACAAACCCCTTTTTGCTTAAACTAGCTAGAGTGAATTCTGTCATTGAATCCTGTTCAGTTCAGAATATGACACCAGAAGTGGATATGGCAAACAAACTCAGGCCTTGGGAATCCAGAATTGGCTATTTGATTTAGTTGGGTCTGAAGGCAGGAGGATCTAATTACCATTAGTGGCTGGAACACTAGCAAGTGAGAATCCAGTAATGAAACAATTATTTAAATAATCACTTTTGGTTATCTGGAATAAAGTGCCTATTCAAGGCAAGGTTTTGATGTACTGAATGTGATCGAATATGAGAATATATAAGATAAATGGGAATGGGCTGGCTGTTTCTCGATTCACTGGGAAAAAAATGAAGAAAAAAGGATGATTTAGGGGCTTAATATCTTGGTTTAAGGCAATCAAGAAACCAAGAATTCCAATGGTTGCTCTAAAATAACCCTTTATTTCTATTATCTGTAGGATTCACTCCATGGACCCATTGGGACTACCATGAAATGACTGAAAAATCAGACACAGAATCATCTTGCAGGGTGTTAAATGACAACATAAAATAAATGTATGTGGGGTTAATTAATTTTTCAGTTAATTAACTGAGAAAGAAACTTCCTTCAAAAATTGAAATGTGACACTTGGGAGTATACATATAACTAAGAATACCTATCAAATGTTCCTTCTCATGAGAAGTAGCTCCCAAACTTGTGTAACGAGACTGGTTTTGCCTTGCTGAGGACCCTGTGATGATCTCACCTGAAGTATTTTCATTCCGTGGAAATATCAATTCTCAAGGCTCCTCTCTCGCCACCCCTCAATTACACTAAATGTCCTTTTTAACCTCATTTTTTTCCACATATCATTTCATGAATATTTTCTTAGGAATATTAATTATTCTTCTACAGCTTGCTTTTAACAGGCTGGAAGCCTCGTGTTCCACTGTATGGATATACCAAAGTACATTTAACTAAATCTTTATTATTGGAAAATTAGGTCAGTCCCAATGTTTTTTGTTGTAAATAATCACATGTTGAACATTCTTATGTATAACTTTTTGACCTGATTCTTTTCTTAATATAAATTTCTCTAAATGGAATTTCTTGGTCAAAGGATGAAAACAGATTTTCATCGGTATTGTCAAATTGCCCTCCTAATTATATATACACTTTCTCCAGCTGTAAATGAGAATGCCTGATTCCCGGACTTGCACAAGAGTATATTGATTTTTGAAAAATCTTTGCCTATAGGTGAGAAATCGTACTTTATTTAAAAATTTTAAGTTTCTTTGAGAAATAGGGAGGATAAACATGTTTTCATAGTGTATTGGTCACTTTCCGCCCACTTTTTATGATCTGCTTTTTCATGTCCACTAGATCCCAGTTCCATAAAGTTAGGCAACTTTTTTCTATATTCTCTTCACTGCTGTATCCTTTGCACTGAGCCTAGCACAACAGTAGAAGTTTACTAATTTTTTTTTTTGAATGAATATATTTTCTAATTGGGTGTTAATCTTTTTAAAAATGTGATTTGCAAAATCTGCATATGTAGATATGAAATTATATGAATTCACCATATGGCAAATAATTTACCCAATTTGCCATTTTCTTTTTAGTTTTGTTTATGGTACTTTTTGTCAAAGGGAATCTCTGAAAATAATATGATTTAACATTTGGCTGTTACACTTTCCTCTTTTAAAAAAATTTCTTGATTTAGTCTTTTCCAACTTAAAAAATATCCCATTAACATTCTGATTAGATTTTTATGCAATAAATAAATAAATAAATAAATAAATAAATCAAGAGGCAGTATCTCTATAATAATATTTCCATTCAAAAACATATGTTCAGGTCTATGGCCATGCTTCTGAACAAGCCCAATTCCGTCTGATCTCGGAAGCTGAGCAGGGTCGAGCCTGGTTAGTACTTGGATGGGAGACCACCTAGGAAGACCAGGTGCTGTAGGTGTAAAAAATAAAAAAATAAGGAATTATAAACTTATATATATATATATATATATATATACACACAAATATATATAAAAATATCTATGTATGTATATATATATTCATTTAAATAAAATCTTTTATGTAGCTTGGTTAAGTTTTATAGTTGTCTTTATGTAGAGACTAACAATTGTTTTTTAACTTTATTCCTAAACTTTTATTGTTGTTGTTATTGATATTTAAATGAGATCCTTCTCCACTAGATTTTTCTAAAGTGCTGATTGATATAAAAGCTAATGATTTTTGTGTGTGGAATTTGGAAATGCTAGTCATTATACTGAATTCCATTAGTTTTAATAACTCTTTAGGCAGTTCTCTTAGATTTTTATAGAATAATATCACTCAAATAATGACAATTTAATCTTGTTTCCAAAAGTTCTATACTCTATTTTTGTTATTACATTGGCTAGAGCTCTCAGAACAATGTTACATTATAGTAGCGACAACTGATGTCCTTATCTTGTTTCTTACTTTAATGGTGGTTCCTTTTAGTGCTGAGCATAAAATCAGCTGTTGATTCAAAGAGGATTTGTGTTTGTGTGCATATACTCTTAGAACATATTTTAATCCTAGTTTGCTAAGGTTTTTGTTTTTGTTTTTAAATAATCAGGAAAGGATGCTAAATTTATCAACTGCCTTTTCAAATTTTATCAACCATATGTATTTTTTCTCCTTTATCCTATTAGTGAATTATATGAATAGATTTCCTAATATTGAATCATAGCTAATTTCTTGAATTCAGACAATCCAATATATAATTTAGCCTCAAAATGCATTGTGATTTGTATCTGCAGTAGATTTGTCTTCTTAATTATTTTTACTCTAGGTTAATATTCAGTTGCCTTTTGAGCACATCCTGAGATTGGAAAAGGGTAGCCAGTAGTAGGTGCATCTGGGTAGAAAGGGACACTGTGGCTCAGATTTGAAATGTGCTATAGTTAATCCCATATATAATGAAATTGGGACCTGGCCATACAGTCCTTCAGTTTCTAGATTACTTACCCATTTGGCTTTCTTTCCAGCTCATTTAAAAGTGTATGATCACAGTATTCAAAAACTAAATGCATTTTCCTTTTTCTCCTGAACACCTCAATGAGGTTCACAAGGTTTGGGTGTTTTAATTGCTGCAAGGGAATTGAAATACAAAGTTTGGTGATTTGTTTTCTTGTAAGAATTTCTCCCCAGATCCCTTATAATTTTAAGAACAGAAGACCTTGTTTATCATTCTCTACGCATATCTTGTGGAGAATTTATTATAGTTACTTACAACAGAAAGTACTCTTAGTAAGAATCATGGAATCTTAACATTGGAAGAAAAATTTAAGAATCTGTCTAATGTACCCATAATAAATGGTAACTAAGCTGCTTGCATCTCTCTGGAGATAAATAAAGTACACAACTTAAATATAAGCACTAAAACCAAAAAATACTTTATGCATTTTGTGGAAATTCTAAATATACAATTCATAAAATAACCTGAATAAAAAAATGAGGAAATGGAATTATTGAATAAAGACTATAAAAATCATCAGTACCCATTTAGCTTATATATTGCCATGGAGTTAATGTAAATGTCAGCTGGACTTAAACCCAGGCTGAATATTCATTTTGGCTCTCAGAAATACTAGATTCCAACCTTCAAATCCGATTAGACCACTTATTTGAGGAGTTCCCACAATTAGTCTGTGATTTTAATTTATTTTTCATTTTCCAACTTTGTTCTTTGATTTTGTTGTTCTCTCTTATGCTTAGATGTTTCATGCGTTAAATTCTAGCCCCAAATTGAAGCATTTCACAAGGCAGCCTCTGTTTAATGTTGTAAACCAAAGGAAAAATCCTGATTAAGATAATCCATCACTAGAGCAACTATATAATTTATCATCCAATCAGGGTAACGAGTCTAAGCTAGGACTGTCCCAGGCAAACTACAGCTAGGGTGACTGTATAATTTAGCTTATAAATCAAGATAGTTTTGAAAGAAGATACTAACCAGACAGACTCTGGGACAAAAGCTATAGACCAGGACATCTGATCACTCCTTATAAGTCATTGTTCCTGTTGTTTTCCCAGTATAGTAGGCAAATCACCTTTCCAAACCTTATACTATTTACTCAGAAAGGTATATAAAGACATAGAACAGTATTTTGTATATAGTAAAGCTCAATAAATATTTTGCAGGCCCAGTAATGAGTCTTAAATGTGGATACCATTGTCTACCTCAGTTGCCATAAGCATGGCTTGACCAAAAAAAATCACTGTGACTACATTCTTGCTGTTCACCAGCTAAGAAGGGAATCCTTTTTACACAGTAAAAATATTACCAGAGCACCAAGTCAATTTTATTTTCTATGTGCTCCACTGCCTAAAATAGCAGAAAGGCAAATAGTGGAGGAAACAGGCTAAGCATCAGAGTGGCCAAGGTCCCAAATGATGATCAATTGATTTCCCAAAGTTATTGATACAGAGGAATTTAAGTCTAATGGGAAAAAATATCACTTTAAAGTTCTTTGTAATTTTAGTACACGTAATTCATCCAATACCATGATATTACAGACACATAAAGTTAACCTACCTTCAACATACGTATTTCTCTTAGTGCTATTTTCTTAACGACAGGATCATCTTCAGATTCCACAAATTTTTTAATAGCTACCACTTGTCCAGAGGTTTTGTTTCTGCATTTAAATACAACCCCATAAGACCCTTCTCCAATCTTAGCTAATTTTTCATACTTTTCCATTATAGTAGAAATGACTTAAATTACTGTACTGATTGACTCGAAGTACAGTGTTGTACCTGGAAAATAAGATAATTCAGCTTAATGAAATTATTGAGGACAATGTTCTCACAGATTATTATACAAAACCAATTTGCCCAGGATGTCAAAGGTTTATTTCTACCAATTAGTTTTACATACACTTAAAATATTTGGATGTTATTTTGTTAGTTTAGTTCAGTCTTATGCAGTTCTCCCAGCTATGGCAAAAATTTCATATGCTATTTCTTATAATGGGTCTGTGTTGACTTCAGCTAAATTAAAAAAATTTGTGTAAAAAGACCTTATCCAATCTATTTTAATTATCTTCAAGTAAATGATTAAAATATAATGCTATAAAATCCAGCTAAAGGAATATTTCACACTCTTGAATACGGTGTTTATCTTTTCCTTCCTAAGCTATTTGAATACTGGAGAAACTAGAAGAGTTGAGAACAAGACATGGTACAAAGCACTATACTTCCACCTGCTGGAGAGAAGACAGAGAAAATGTGGGCTGTTGAACAAAGCAGCTATTAAAAATAATAAAACCTTTTTTAGAGCATCTTTTATTGTGCTTAGCTTTGATATGTAAAGGAACAAATCCTTAAATTTGTAGCTCTCAAAGAAAATAATAATAAAGCACAAAAAAGAAGGCAGATTTCTCTAATTCATGAATGCTTTCATATCCACAGTGATTTCTATGGAAATACTGGGTTTAACTATTCTGTCTCACATCACCCATTTGTGAATTTTGCGATGACTGGTTTACATGTTAAATAACAAATAAGGCCAGCATAATTAAATAAATCAGTCTAGGAATTAAAAATATGAAAACTTTAATTAGTCTCAAAAATCCCACACCACTTTATTAAGCAGGATCTTATTAATATACTCTAATAGTAATAATAGCTAGCACTTAACACTGTTTATGCAAATTATATATAATCTACACAAATATTCCAGAAGTAGGTGTTATTTTTATCCAACCAAGCGATGAGAAAACAGGCACAGTGAAGTTAGTGTGGAATTAGAACCTATGCCGTCGTCACATTCCAAAGAACACAATTTTAATCACTACTGCTCAGTTAATTCAAAAGAATGCACAATCTGAAGAACCACTTTCTCTAGGTCTTGGTATTAATAAATGTCAAGTAAAGAGTTGACCACTTAAAAAATTTCTCATGTTTCAAATGAGTATCCCTCTTTTATATTTTTACTTGACTAATATTCAGTCTTTTCCATCCACAGATTATCTCAATGAAGTAAGAAATCATGTACTTTCACTTGCCACCATAATAATGCACAAATGGAAAAGTGTTTACCTGGATAAATGACTATTAACATACTATTTTACAATGCAGTTTTTTAGTAGATCTTATTTTCTCTCTTTTTAAAGGGAGAAACTGAAGCACACAGACACTCAAGTAACACATGGAAAATCCATCACAGATTAAGTTTGGAAAATTTTATTAATTATGGGCATGCATGGGGAAGACCTGAGAAGGCCTACAGGAAAATTAAAGCTGAGGCAGATTTCAGGACTAACTGAATTCTGAATGCACTCTCCAATCCACAGTCTACTGGCAGAGGGCGAAACACTTATGGCTAGATGTGTCTGAGTGACACCAGTGTCCAAATTATTGACTATCAAGCTATGCAGACAGTGGTGACTTTCAGAAAGCCAGGCCAAAAGAATTAAGTAATAATAATTTTAAAAAAACAAAACTGAACAGAGATAGCAACCACACACTTGGGAGAAGATAGATTCTGGAACACAGGCAGGTTGCTAAAACAAAAAACAATCCATTAAAAAAAAAAAAAAACCTAGGAAGAAAATCAGACTCCAGAATTGTTATAATGTTATCTAAAATGTCCAGTTTTCAATTAAAAAAATTATGACATGGTACGGAAAAAGGAAAATGTGACTGATATTCAGGGAAAAAATTCAATTAAAATGAATTGAGAATGGATCCAGATGTTGGATTTAGCTGACAAAGACTTCAAAGCAGCTACTATAAATATGTTCAAATAATTATGGCAAATTACAATTTAAATATTAAAGGAAAATATAATGATGACTCAGAAGTAGGAAATATCAATAGAAAAATAAAAAGTATAAAAAAGAACCAAATGGCAATTTTAGAGTTCAAAAATACAACTGAAATAAAAAATTCACTAGATGGACTCAACAGATTTAAGATGGCAGAAGAAAGAATCAATGAATCTGAAAATAAACAGAAAATGACCAATATGAAAGAAAAAAAAACTGAAGATGAACACAGCCTCAGAGACCTGTGGGACAAAAATAAACAATGTTAATATATATGTAATAAGATTCTCAGAAAGACAGTAGTGAGAAAGAGGCAGAAAAAATATTTGAAGAAATAATGGCCAAAAGCTTTCTAAATTTAATATAAAACATTAATCCATATATCCAAGAAGCTAAATAAACCCCAGATAGGAAAATATAAAAACATTCATACCTAGATATATCATAGCCAAACTGCTGAAAATTAAAGACAAAATCTTGAAAACAGTGAGAGAGCACCATTCACACAAAAAAAGAAACATCTTAATGACTGACTCATCAGAAAAAAACAATACAAAAATCAATAGAACAAAAAAACTGGTTCTTTAAAAAGATCAACAAAATTAATGAACCTTTAGCTAGGCTAAGAAAAGAGACAGAAATAAAAATTACCGAAATCAGGACCACCCTATAGATTTAAAAAGATTGAAAGAGAACTTTATGTGACCAAATTGGACATTTTGAACAAATGCCTAATAAGACACAAAGTAACAAACTTACTCAAGAAGAAATAGAAAACCTGATTATACCCATAACAAATAAAAGAAGTGAATTAGTAATTTAAAATCTACCCATAAAGAAAAGCCCAGGTTCAGATAGCTTCACAGGTGCATTTTACCACACATTCAAAGAATTAAGACCAATCCTTCACAAACTGTTCTAAAAAACAGAAGAGGAAACATCTCTCAGCTCATTCTATAAGGCCAATATTACTCCGATACAAAGTCAGACAAAGAAATTACAAGAAAACCACAGATCATTATTCTCATAAATACAGACACAAGAATCCACAACCAAATAATCAGCAAAAACATATAAAATGAACTATATACCTTGACTAAGGGATTTTTCTGAGGAATACAAGGTTGACTTAATAATATCAATAATGTAAAACAACATATTAATAGAATAAAAGATGAAACTACACAATCATCTCAATAGATATATATTTAAAAAGCACTTAAAATCCAACATCTATTCGTGATAAAATTTCCAAACTAGGAGTAGAAGGGTACTTTCTTGAGGGAATCTGAAAAAACTACAGTTAACATCATGCTTAATGGTGAAAGACTGAACACTTCCCTCTAAGACTGGGAAAATGTTCTATTTAACCACTTATATGTAACACTGTATTGGAAATTTTTGCCAGTGTAATAGGGCAAGTAAAAGAAACTAAAAGTATATAGGTTGGAAATGGAAAGAAAAACTCTCATTATTTGGAAATGGCATGCTATCGTATGTAGAAAATCCTAATGAATCTGCAAAAAAGCTTCTAAAACTAATGAACAAGTTTGCAATGTAGTAGAATACAAGATCAACATACAATAATAAATTTTATTTCTCTATTTTGGTAACAATCGATTTAAAAATGAAATTAAGAAAACAATTCCAGTCCCAATAACATCAAAAAAATAAAATTTTAGGAGTGAATTTAACAAGTGAAGTGTACTGATAATTGAAAACATTGCTCAGAGAAATTAAAGAAGATCTAAAAGAAAAAGAGAAATGCCATGGTCATGGACTGGAAAACTCCATAAGATGTCAGTTCTCAGTAAAGTCATCTATAGATTCAAGTCAGTCCTTATAAATATCCTTATAGACGTTCTTTGGGGTAGAAACTGACAAGATGAACCTAAGATTCACATGGAAATGCGCGGTATCCAGAACAGCCAAAACGACTTGGAATAAAAACAAACTTGGAAGACTTATATTACCTGACTTTGAATTTTATTATAAAGTTATAGTAAATCAAGAAAGTATGATATTGGCATATATATGTGTATATATATAATATTATATACATTAAATTGAGTTGTTTGACTTTATGTACTTTATGTCGTAAGAATGCTTTATGGATACAAATCCTTTATCAGATATATAATTTACATATAA